GCTGTTCGTGTTGTGGCATGTGAGCTCTGACAGGTGACATATGTGTCAGGTACTGTTTCCATTGGTCCCGGCAGGCCTGCTCATTTTTAGAAGTTCACCGGTGAAGGATGCCTGTCAGATAACACCGTTTCTAAGCTTTTTTTCGTTTTTGTCTTTCACAAATAGACTTTTGTTAGTTCAGGCCTTAAATATGCAAACAACTGACATCACAGCACAACTGCTTTCGCTGGCAACAGACCAGGGGATTGTATCCCACCTTTTCAGACAAAGACCTGACTGTAACTTGTTTTCGTGGTGTTTTGTTTTGACACGATTGCAGTGTTAGATGTAGAGTCCCAGGGGTGGCAGAACACAGCAGCTTCCTTTCAGCTGAACTATATGGTTAATAATAAAGATGTTTGTTTCTTCATTGCATTGTTTTGGAGAAGGTTTCTACTTAAAGCATCCTTTCCTCACATTCAGTAGACTTAACAGGTCTGAAGTGCCGAAAGCCTCTTCAGGACAGCTGCATCTCACAGATTTGGGAAACTTAATTAACGAGAGAGCCCAGGAGACAACTTAAAATACCCTGTCAGAGGAAAACAATTTTGCAGCTATCTTTTTATATGCAACAGTCCTGCCTGTTAACTAATAAACTCTAAATTTTTAAGCAAATGAGTATGGTTTACGCCATTTTGGAGGAGTGAAGGCTTTTCTATTTTATTTTTTATGTCTAAAGACTTCTTCAGGTAGTATAGTGATGAGTTTATCTCTCTGGGCAAGAGTGATCTGTCTTGACTTAAAATCAAAACTCATCCATAGAAAACTTCTTTTATAAAAGTGTATAGTAAGAGTTTTATGGGGCAGGTTCATTTGTAAATGGGAGAGGCTATTGCCATGCTTATGTCTCCTTCAGACTTGATACAAAGAAATTAATTGCTTCTCTCACAAGAAGGTAGGAGGTGGTGGAAGTTTCTAGTTAATATGTGACATAAAATTACTGTGTAATTTCTTGATTTAACCCTCTTTTAATACTTCAAGTAGAACTCTGCTGTTGTCAGCATGTGTACAATAGACTCAGTGTGAAAGATAAACATGAGTAACTCCTGGATTTGGGGGTTATTTTTGTTTTGTTTTGCTTCTCCCCCATTATTCACAGTTGGAGTAATAGTAGCTGCTTTTGTCTTCTGTCTCCAGAGGAATTACATTCCAGGAAGTAAAAGCAAAAAAGATCTGTTGTATTCTTGCTTTGTTTAGCCTAGGTGTCTAGGTATTCTTAGAAAACACAGTACAAAACTTCCCTGACTAGTTTCATACAGTTTCAGGACTTCCTTTATGGAAGAGCTGGAGCTGAAATACAAAGATACTGTGTTGCCCTTTTTTTTTTTTTTTTTTTTTTTTTTTAGTGTCATTGTGGGATCTGAACTTGAGTTCCATTTTTTAAGTCTTTCCTCATATCCTACCTAGAAATTTAAAAAAATAATAATAAAAAAAAACCTTCTTTTTACACGTGTCATTTTATAAAGGTGAATTTTAAAATGTATTTTAAAAACCCTCAGACTCTGCAAGTTCTCCCTGGGCGCATGTCATTATGAGACATGATACATACTGGAATCTTGGTGAGGGTTGCTCTTTTGGTTTTGTAGCACACAGAGAGGGGGGTGGTAGAGAAGTTGTACTGAAGCTTGTCAAGAGCCCACCACTCTTCACAACATACTAGCTTCAGTGTTCTCTCATTTTAAGCTACATATGCCTCCTTAGGTCATTTCTCTTCATCACAGTGCATGTCAAACTTGAAAGTACCACAAGGTTTTTCAGGATTTGGCAGGAACCAATGTGCCCGTCCTGCAAACTAAAATTTATCCAAAAAATTAATGCCTGGGGCAGGGGAGAAGAATCAGAGCTCAGTTGTTTCTGTTAGCTATTCATCCCATCAACAGTTACACAACAGTAACTGTAAATAGAAAAGTATTTTTTAAAACAGTCATATACAGTTACAAGTTTCTGTTGTGATTAATATTCAAAATTTATCATCTAAAAGTTTGTAACTTTTCAGGGAACAAGCATAGTGAAGTAGTCAGCTGTCATAGACTGTAAAATAGTGTCAGCTGGAGGCCCTGAGTAGCATTTCTACTTTGTAATGAGAAATAAAGTGTTTGTGATGATGAGACAGCTAACTTGCACAGCTGCAAGCTGTGATACCATTTAGTTGATCTTTTGGTAGAAGCTCAGAAGCCCCCCAAAAAGCAAAATCACCCCTTAAAAAAAAAAAAGGCATTGAAATAAGTTTTGCAGCAGTGGTCTAATGGCAGAAGGAAACTGTTACAGTAGCTATTGGCTCCCTTCTCTGTGTCAGCGAAGGCTGTCCCGAATTACCACTCATAGTGAAAATGAGGGAGATAGCATTGGCCAGAGTTTGGCCACCTCTGTACATGTACATCCTTTAGAAAATAACAAGAAAATACTTCTCTTTACACACACGGTGCCCTCTTGTACAGATGCTTCCTGGAAGAATCCCTGCCATGTGCTCAGTGCTGAAGTTACAAAAATTGGTGTGATGCAAATGAGCCTGTCTCAACATTAAGATAACAATGGGTAGTTTGGGGTTGCTATACTTGGGGTGTTTTCTGAAAGGATGCAGGCTTTGTACAGGGAGAAGCAATGGCTGCTTGTGAGCCATATCTCTTTGACCCTACCTACTAAACAGGACATCCGGGTGAATTCTCTATGCCTATAATGAGGTTTATTACAGCTGATTTTCAGTTATGGTATTGATTCCTGCCAAAGTTGGCATTTTGCATTCAAAAACTTGGCTATATGTCAAAAGCTTTGAGTTTTTTAATGCCTTCTGTACAAGAATAAGTGATGTTTAGCTACCAGATGTGGAACTTCTGGACAGTGAATTTGATCAGAGGTTTTCCTAACGTAACTAAAGCAGTTCTGTAAAACAGTTTTTGGTAACTGAAAGATTACCACGCAGTCTGTCATCAAATAACCAGCTTTGATGATGTATTCACGGGACTCAGGCACTTGTGCAAAGTCTCATCAGAGCAGATTGTTGAAGAATTTAGCAAATTTTAAGTATAGATTCAAACTAGAAGCAGAATTTTTTAAAATTTTGATGAGAAAAATATCAGGAGAACATGTTTAAGAAAAATATAGTATCTAGGTATGAAAGCTATATTTATTTAAGAATGAGAAATATGTTTTGTGTAACTTGCTCATGTAGCCATATTGACTATGTAGTATCTGCTCTGTAGGTACTGATTTTTTTTTTTTTTAAGCAGAAATTTGCATGCATGTGCAGTGAATATAACTTACTGTGCCTGTGCAGATAATTTTCTTTTTTTTCCATGGACGATACATCTGATCCAGTTCTCAACTCTAGTGTACTGAGCTCCAGTTCTCTGTTAGGACAGTCAATGTGCCTTCTTTTAGTTATAAGACACGTAACTGTTGAGACGCAAAAGTGAATTTGCTGTACAGTGTGCGAGTCTGTCAAAGTCCTCTCAAGCTGACATTTGTATTCTTAATGATGTATTTTGAAGAATTGAAGCACATCACCGGTATTGTCCTGTGACTATTACTTGAAAATACCTTAGAGTTAATTCTGGGATTAGAGTTTCACATAAAATTATTTTTATAATAACAAGAATTCACTAAAACTGAAAAGCTCAGTTGTAGCTAATTTAATGCTGACATTTCTCATGTGCTTTTGTGACTTTGTCACTGAAATGCTGTATAGTTCTTGGGAATAAACATCATTTCTAGGTTATGGTTGCAGGAACTTATAGCTCTCTACTGACATTTTGTGGATAATGTGTAATGAAGTTTAAATTTTCTATTAAAAAAACCCCAGTGGTTTACACAGGTTATTTCCCAGAAGGTACTTGGGACGAGTCTGATACATACCAATATGGCTTGTACCTTCCCTAATAATCCCTGAGACCCAAAAAGACCTTCATGAAACCTTTGAGTGATTTCTGTAGGCGTTGGCCTTTGAGATGTAACCAGATAGATGTCATGGCTGCAAGCAGAAGTCTGAAGTGATTCTGGCCTCTTGTGAAGATATTAGAGTGATGTCCTGTTTTCTGTGCTGTCATATAAATGTGCAAGGTACAGCTGAAATTAAATAGTAGTAGCTATGGAGTTGACTTATAAGAGCAATTACGTTTCTAGGCCCAAATGTACAAGTGGGCATATTTTTTCATATCTACTAACTTTTGAATGACAGGTATGTTAAAAAAAAAAAAAAAGAATGCCTCAGAATGTATGAGAGCATTTTTGTGCTTCAGTCTTGATGAAATATTTATAACCATTTCAGACATCGCTGAAAACAGACATTGTGAATATCTTTAAATTATGGTTATGCGTACTCTCATGCTAAATTTCTTCCACAGAGAATGGTCTTGAGTAAACTTCATATGTCCCTAAGGCTTTTCTTAAGTGATCATTTCAAAGATGAGAACTGTGTGTACCTTGTATTAATTATTCCTTAAAAACCAAATAGCCATGCTTCTAGTTTTAACCTGAGAGCAGTGCTGTGTACTTGCTTTTTTAAAAAAAAATAGACAATGTGTTTCTGTAAAATACTTTTCATGTTGTATGAATCTTTTCTTAAAAGCTTAGAATATAAATTGTACGTGTGTTGGCTTGTAGCCAGTTCCATTCTTATTGATCCCAAGGCACATCTATTGGTGTGGGTTAGCAGAGTATCATACAAAATATTATTTTTATTAATAGCTATATGAAATGTCCAAAAGGGGGTTTGTTGTTGATGCTTTGTTCTTTTTGTTATGTTTTCAAGAAGCTGTTGACTCTTGGGAGCCCTATCAAGATATTGGTTGTTGCAGTAGCCTTGAATATTATTTTTCTACTTATTTTAATCTTAATTTTCAGGGGGTTCAAAAATAGCCTTAGTTTATAAATAATCCTTTGGTGAAGAGTGCCAGTTGTGATTGTTATTTAAAGTGGTTACTGTTATTTAAGTTTGTTGTTTTGATTTGTGTTTGTGGGACAAGGAATTCTCTTACCCCACCCTGACACCTTTCGTCCCTTTATCTCTTCCAGGTTTCGGTCGGAAGGATGTAGTTGAATATTTGCTTCAAAGTGGTGCCAATGTCCATGCACGAGATGATGGAGGCCTTATTCCTCTTCATAACGCTTGCTCTTTTGGTCATGCTGAAGTTGTCAATCTTCTCTTACGGCATGGTGCAGATCCTAACGCTCGGGATAATTGGAATTACACTCCCCTTCATGAAGCTGCCATTAAGGGCAAGACAGATGTCTGCATTGGTAATTTCCTCCCACTCTTCCTGTGACTGACTCATTTCTTTTCCCTGTGAAAAATCAGAAAACCGTTAGAGACCATTTTTACCCTATGAAGCTCTGGCTGGTATAAGGATTGAAACTAAAATTTTTTCATAAACTTAAATTAAGATGCCGTTTTTATAAGAAACAAGTTTTTAGGTCTGTTTTTGGTAATTGCCCAAGTGTAAAGGTTCACGTAGACATCATGGGGAAAGAGCTCTAAGGTGATGAGGTGGAGCTAGATTCTCTTTGGCTTCAGCCTAGACTCATGCTTTCTTCTGCTGCAACTCACAGTGCAGCGGGAAGAGCAAAACTGGGTTTAGGAATGGAGTCGTTCTGTCTGTGTGTAGCAGCCATGTAAAATTAGTTATGGACAGGAGCTAAACTTCAGCTCTATTGGCCACTTGCTTTGCCTGCAAAGTTCTTAAGAGCTAGAGAAAGGTAGAAAGTTACATACGTGGTCAAGAAATTAATTTATTGATTGTGTGACTTGCTCTCATTTACTTCATTAAGGAGCACATCTGAAGAGTTGTTTATGTAACAGTGCTGTTTGGCCCCAGTGTAAGTGCAAGATGCATGGCCTACTACTGCTGCGTACAGTTCAGGGCATAGTGATTTGTGGATTTGAGGCAGCATGCTCTGGACCTGGTGGGAGGTAGCTACTAATTTTTGTCTGGGCCTGGTGGGGGGTAGCGACTAAATTTTTTGCTTTTTTCCCTTTTTTTTTTTTTTTTTTATCTCCATAAAATATGTGTAGGCATGTTTCAGTAATAAAACTGGTCATAGAGGACTTTAAGGAATTCCGACATTAGAAGTTTGAGAGAGGAGGTTAGGATCAGTAACTGGATATTTCTTTTGTTGCTTGCAGCTCACAGTAATGATATGTCTCATAAGCGTTGTCTTATAGAATTGTTTTCTTATGGAGAACTTTGGCATTTTGTAGTACTGCTGCAGCATGGTGCCGAACCAACCATCCGGAACACAGATGGAAGAACAGCTTTGGATTTAGCAGACCCATCTGCAAAAGCAGTGCTGACTGGTAAGTGATAATCTTTAGATTACATTATGACTAATAACAATTGAATGAATATAATACAGTATTTTGGTTTTTGTCTTTCTAATATTAGTTTAATTTCTCTCTGTTTTATAGTTCTAAATAGAAATTTCCATATGGCTGTCATTGTCTCTGTATCCTGGGTAAATAGTTTATTGTGCTAGTTCAGTAATGGACTATCAAGTTTTTAGCACTTATGTTCTCTAAAATTTTGCAAGATGAGGATAAGTAGTGAACTTTACATATATAGATATTTATTTAACAGCTAAAGAAACTCCCTCTTGTCTTCCAGGTGAATACAAGAAAGATGAACTCTTAGAAAGTGCCAGGTATGTGTGTTTGGAAGATCTCTGTAATTTAGCTATAGTTTGAGAATTGCATATAATGAATATATATGTCAGCATCTAGATGTTGAGCTTTGACTGTTACCTGGGAATTAAGCTGCACAAGTAGTTTTATAAATGCCTTTTTGGTTTCCCTTTAATGCTGATAGTACAGAAGTGAATGTATTAGTTCAGAATAGATCTGCTGAACATTATAGGAAGGAAAAATATATAAACATAATAGCCTACCAAAAACTGTAATAAAAATATTTCTTCCTGTTTCATATCTTGCTTTTCAGGAGTGGAAATGAAGAAAAGATGATGTCTCTTCTTACGCCATTAAATGTTAACTGTCATGCAAGTGATGGCAGAAAGGTATTTTTGTTTAAAACATGATTTAAAATTAATTCACTCGTACATGTTTCACAGTTATTGTTTGATGATAATTTAAGAATGTTAAGTGTAGAATCTACCTATTCTCTATAATATATGGGGGAAATAAGATTGTATCTCTATAGCAGCCAGCTGATTTTTGTTTTTTAAACCTTTGAAGGACTACATAGGTATTTTCATCAAGGAGCAGTAAACAAACACCTTTTCAATTGCAACTTCTGCTTGACCTTCATATCTGCAATGATGAAGAAGGAGGGCCTTTTCATAGATTCTTGAGCGCTGTCAGAGAGATACACGCAGGCCCCTTATTTACCACTCCCTAGGCAAGGTATCGCTGCTGTTTCAGGAACATGCTATTCATCGCTATGAGTATTGGTGAAGAATTATGTGAAAAAAATCCTGATAGTCTCTGGGGTTGAGCCCTTAGCCTAGCAAAGGTCCAGATTATTGAATATCCTTTTTAGCATCGTTGCTGTTCCCGTTAAGTATGTGTACTTGTTCACTTGAGTTTTATTTAACTGAGTTTCCCTGTTTAAGGCTTTGTGGTAAGATACTGGAATCTCAAAAACACCTATGCATGTCTATTTATTTTTTCATCTTTTAGTTATGAGACTCATCCTCTAGGAACTGTGCAGACCCAGTTCAGTTGATGAGTTAGTAAATAAAGAGGATAAGTTTTCCCTTCACTAATTTGTTGCTCTGGCCCTTGTTGCTGCTGATGGGTATGCTAGAAAAGATCGTAGAGCAGTTATCCAGCTGCTCTGTGGAGGGTGAGAATTCAGAAAGAAAGCTTAAGTTTCCACCACAACCCACTAACATCCTGCACTCCCAGATGTCGATAACAATCTCAGTTGATAATTTCCAAACTTAATCTATTGAATGGCAGGGAGACCTCTTTGTAACTTAGCAGCTGTTGTTTCTAATGGCTGTTTTATTTCCCCTTTCACCAGGGATGTAATTTGTCCCAGTAAAGTATTTATAGCTATGGTAGACTATAGCACTCAAAAAACCTTTAAGAGGGCCTGTGTTGCTAGAATGTATTAGTGATGGAATAAATTCAGAAATTGTTTTTATGATGACTCAGAGCAGTCAGTAAATATTTAACATAGTTGTCAAATGCCTGATTGAAGCCCTGTGGGGTTTTTGATGTTGCAAGTATTTTAATGATTTCAGTAATTAGTACTGTTAGCAAGTTTTGAAAAAATAAGATCAACCAGATCAACCTGTGATTTTGTGTTACTGATTACTTCTATGTTTTCTCATTTCAGTCTACTCCTTTACATTTAGCAGCTGGGTATAACCGTGTAAAAATAGTCCAGCTCTTACTGCAACATGGGGCTGATGTACATGCTAAGGATAAAGGGTAGGTTCATTTTTTCTTTCTTAGGAGTAAATAGAATTTGTTAAAAAAATAGATGAAGTATACTATTTTAACGATGAAGAATTTCTAACTTGAGAGCATTATACCATTTAACCTTTCTGTTATGACAAAAATGCAAAGGCTGTAGGCTTAAGACTTGTGAATCAGTAGGATTCAAATTCAGCTGACCATAGAACATGCTGCTTTGTTCAGTAAAACACGTTCATGTACCACTGTGAGGTCAGCAAATGTTTCAATGATTGAATCAATCATCCTTTTCTTACTACTTTTAAGTTTCTACACTTCTTTTTGCAAAGAATGTGATAAAAATTGAACATCTGTTTCCTAGAGATTTTATTTGGACTGCATTTTCAGGCATTTAGTTGTTATGTCAGGAAATGCAGTGATATGTAGACATGCTAAGTTTATTTAGTTACATAATATAATGAAAAACCTGTTTTTAAAAAATGTGTATTAAAGATTATGGAGAGCAAACTTTTACTACTCCTTTTTCAAAGGGTCACTTCACAGCTGCAGCAAATAGCTGCCTGATGAGACAGCTTTAATTGTCCCCTTGGTGTTAGAATTCACTTCTGTAATTTCTTCCTTTTCAGCCCACAGTAAAAGAATTCACATTGGGCAGTTTCTCACCTGTTCATAAGACCACTCAGTTTGAGTGAATATGAAGCTGGCTTTGAAACCTCTGTAGCCCTGCTGTTACTGTAGAATATTGCACAGTTACTTAAACATTACCTGCTAAGACTTCTTTAGCTTGTAAGGGAGAAGATAAATCTTACAGCAATGTTCTCTTGAAAAAGAAAATAATTACTGTCACTCCTGAATTTCCCCTGCAGATAGTTCTTCCTGCTTAGGGTCCAAGTCTGAGTGGAACTATTTCATTTACAGTAAGACAGTGCAATTAATTTCTTATCTTCTGATTATTTTAACTATTTATTGTTCTCAAAAATGCTGATGGGATTTTATGACTTCTCCAGCTTGTTTCCCTTCACTTTCATTTGAACGTCTCTGATACTATTTTTGTAAAATGCTCAAGGTGTAGCATAGTACTAATTGCAGTGTTATAGATGAATTTGTAATTGAAATATGCGTACAAGGTAATTGTCTTCTCCCTTTCTCTCCTATGTAGAGATTTGGTGCCACTTCACAATGCCTGCTCCTATGGTCATTATGAAGTAACAGAGCTTCTAGTAAAGGTTGGTCTTTGAGAGGTTATATTGCATATTATTAAGTAAGAACAGCTTATAATGGACTAATGCAAGTTGCATCTTTTTTTTTTATTTTGTACTTAGATTTACAAAACTTAAAGAATGATAAATTGCTTTTACTGTAGGTGTTGGTGATCATTAAGCTGGAGCTAGAGAATCTTCTGCTTGCAAGGAAGCTTTATCTTTATAAATGTGCTTTCTGCTTTTAACCATCTCTGCTCCAAAGTTGAATGTTTCTGTACCACTAAGTAAGTCCTTATCTCAACCTTCCCACTCTTGCTCCCCTAAAAAAACAACAACAAAAAAAACCCCAAACTGAGCAATATTTTGAGTTTGGCAATAGAAGACTATTTCAGAAGAAAATATTGAGAGGTTTTTTAAAAGATTACTGGTAAAGATAGTAAATGTTTTAAAATTAAAGTGTAATCAGTCGCTTGAGGGAGTGAACTGTACAACATCGGTTCTGACCCTGAACTGTAGCTTTCAGCCAAAAGAAAAATTTTTGTAACATAAGTGAACTCTCAGAACTGAAGTGATTTATCTGGATTATGTTAATCTTGAAGATAATGTATCATGCACGTTAAATTAGTGGCTTGAAGAAGTGACCTGCAAAAATCTGTGAGTGTTGCCCACCAACGGACTTTTGAACTGTGCCCATTCTCAGCTGCTACAGCAAATCATGATTATTATAACAGCTGGGGGTATTCTATTAGACAACTCCAGATGTTCGGATGCTGTTGTTCTGTCCTGTATGTCTCAGTCCCCAGTAATTCCATATGTGTTTTTATTTGTTTAGTGAAAGTGAAGTAAAGTTATCTAAATAGGCATAGACCTAGACAGGCTGGAGAGTTGGGCAGGGAGAAATGTTATGAAATACAACAAGAGCAAGTGTAGAGTCTGGGAAAGAACAAGCCAAGTACCAGTATAGGCTGGGGACTGACCTGTTGGAGAGCAGCGTTGGGGAAAGGGACCTGGGGGTCCTGGTGGACAGCAGGATGACCATGAGCCAGCAATGTGCCCTCGTGGCCAAGAAGGCCAATGGCATCCTGGGGTGTGTTAGAAGGGGGGTGGCCAGTAGGTCACGAGAGGTCCTCCTCCCCCTCTACTCTACCCTGGTGAGGCCACATCTGAAATACTGTGTTCATGTCTGGGCCCCTCAGCTCAAGAGAGACAGGAAACTGCTGGAGAGAGTCCAGCACAGAGCCACAGAGATGATGAAGGGTGTGGAATATCTCCCTTATGAGGAGAGGCTGAAGGAGCTGGGTCTCTTTAGCTTGGAGAAGAGGAGGCCGAGGCGTGACCTCATTAATGTTTATAAATATGTCAAGGGGGAGTGTCAGGAGGGTGGAGCCAGGTTCTTCCGAATGATGTCGAATGACAGTACAAGGGGCAGCGGATATGAGCTGGAGCATAGGAGATTCCACAAAAACATTAGGAAAAACTTTCTCACTGCGGGGGTGACAGAGCACTGGCACAGGCTGCCCAGGGAGGTTTTGGAGTCTCCTTCTCTGGAGACACTCAAAACCCACCTGTGTGACCTACTCTAGGTGATTCTGCTTTAAGAGGGGGGTGGGACATTATGATTTTTTGAGACCCCTTCCAACCTCTGGCATTCTGTGATTCTGTGATACATTGTAAGTATAAGTGTATATATAAGTAAAGATAAATAGTCAAGATTTATTATTTATTTATTTTTACTTCAGAGGCCAATTGTAAAGTGAATCTTTACAGTTGGGGTACTAGACCAAAAAAACACCACTATGTGTCTTAAGAGTTAAGTTAGAGTTGTATTCCCTGTTGGATTTCTGCTCTAGTGACTCTAAAATAGTGTTTTGTAACTACAGCTTTAACAGGAGCAATGGGAAGAACATGTCCTATCAGACTTGCTTACAGGCAGAACTCAAGGGATATATGGAATGTTACTGGAGAAGAATTACACAGATATTAATCATCCAAGAGTATTACTTGCAGAACTTTAAATGTTTTGAATTTAAGTAAACTTTGAGTGCCTGTCTCTTAGATACCTTAGCATTCATATATTGAAGATGTATTTATCTTAGTGCAACTGTTCACTCTAGACTTTGTAGAGCAATGAACGAGAACTTGTTCAAAGCTGATTTGGAGTATATGAATTAGGCACTCTCTCTGATTTCACCTGTAGCAGAGCTACTGTCCCTATTATATTGATAATCAGTGTCTGGAGAATGTCTTGGATAGAGTTTGCGTACAAGCATTGGTGTGTTGTTTTTTTATTATTTAGCAGTCTACAACATTGAAACCAATGACAGAATTCTTCTTCTAGTGGTCTGGTTTTGATATTGCATCTTTTTTACCCTTTTTCCTTTCAAGCATGGAGCATGTGTGAATGCAATGGATCTGTGGCAGTTCACCCCTCTGCATGAAGCAGCTTCTAAGAACAGAGTGGAAGTATGTTCTCTTTTGTTAAGTTACGGTGCTGACCCAACGCTGTTGAACTGTCACAACAAAAGCACCATTGATTTGGCTCCAACACCCCAATTAAAAGAACGATTAGCATGTGAGTATAAAGTGAGATCAGTTCTACCGTTATAAATTGTACTGTGTACTTAGATTCCCTATACAGTGATCTGCCAGAAATCAGATTTGGGAAATGCTTACGCTTTCCAAGCAATTGTGCAATGTTGGCCAGTACATTTCTCTGTTTATAATTTGAGATTGCTAGATTTTCTGAATGTGGGCATTTAAAATAATTTTACTGTCATTTTTCAAGTCATGTGGATTTGATGGATTTTGTAACTTTTCTTCCCTGAATACATGCTTTCTGTCACTACCTTGCCAGGAAGCTTTCATTTGCCATACTTGCTCCTGTCATTGCATCAAGACTGTTGAAATGCTAATTTTTATTCTCCTGTGTTTTGTTTGAAGAAAACCTGTGACTGGTTAGATTGTTGAGTATATATGAGTATGCCACAATTGCTGAAAGTTCAAAGAAATTGATAAAAGGCGTTGATTTTTGTCCAGCAAACTTAGGGAGTTGAAAAGAATGCCCTCAAAAATCTGTCTTTGAGTGATCAAAAAAATAACTTTCTGGGATATATACAAAAATTGCCAGCAAATACTACGTTAGACTTCATGGTAGCATCTAGAAATACTTTTCCAAAGACAGGTCAGAAGTAGGGATTTATGTAGACTTGAATTGGCGTGCATGCGACGAGTGGAACCTAGAACTGTTGTGAGTGAAATAGGTCTTGTTCAGCCAGTTTGGATGTCTCTGGCTTTGGTTTGGAAACAAAAGCACATTCCTGTAGTGTATTGACTTAGCTAAAATGTGTTGTCAAGTGATGTAAAAGCTTAAGTCTGAGTTGGAAATGTCTGCACCATGGTCTGCTGAATAAAATGAAAATTTTTATTTAACTGAAATGAACAATCCTCTTGATCCTTCTTGGGTTAAGGAGTGTAACCTTCTTGTATGTGTTCATTGCTTTTTAAAGATGAATTCAAAGGTCACTCACTGCTACAGGCTGCAAGAGAATCAGATGTGGCTCGTATCAAAAAACATCTTTCTTTGGAGACAGTGAACTTCAAGCATCCTCAAACACATGAGACAGCATTGGTAATATCTCAGGATTTATTAATTACTTTGCGTATATTCTGGCTCACCTAAACATACGGTAATAGTTTCCAACTAAAAATTTCAGTGTCTAACATTGTAATTCAGACCAACTGGATTATCCAGTGTCTGGTTAAACAAGTGATATCAATTAATACTTGTTCTTAAGGTTGATGTTAAGACTAATCTAAATTGTCGGTATAATTCAGGTTGTCTAAATGACTGGTTTTTGCAGAATAGTCTAGTTTTAAGCAAGCTACATATGTTTGTTTGTAAAGCTTGAAGGTTTGCAGCAACTGTTGCAAAGAGAAGTCTGGAGAATACTGGAGTAAATCCAAAAGCCCGTGTGGAATCTCCCAAATTAATAAGCTTCTGCGTATTTTGGGTTTGTTTTTTTTAACGTTGACTTTGTGTACAATTAGCTCTTAACTGCTAGCTGACCACCAAGCAGTAAAACTAGGGTATTGCTAGCTGGTTGTTAATGCTACAGTTTTTAATGTTCTCAGCATTGTGCTGCTGCATCTCCATATCCTAAGAGAAAACAAGTGTGTGAACTGCTGCTGAGGAAAGGAGCCAACATCAATGAAAAAACAAAAGAGTGAGTTGTTACAAATGAATACTGTTCTAAGTGTTTAGAACATCTTGCAAAATACATGTTGATTTTTTTTTTGTCATTTTTTTTTTAAGCTTCTTGACTCCTCTGCATGTGGCATCAGAGAAGGCTCATAATGATGTTGTTGAAGTAGTTGTGAAACATGAAGCTAAGGTATGCGTTGCTATTAATGATGTTGGTTGTGGGGTTTTTTTGTTGAGGTTTGCCTGCTAGGGAGGTTTTCATACCATGAGATCGGAGAGCTGACTAGTCAGACTTTTCTGAAATAATTCCTCTTGGGTAGGTTTATACACTTAAGACGTAGACCGTCAGTACAGCCCTGTACATCAATGCATCATTGTTAGTTTGATCCTATTTTATAAGAAATGCAGATGTAGTGTTTTTTTTTTACTAATAAGTGTAAGTTTGTAGAGTGTCTTATTCAGTGCTTCATTGTCCAGCAGTAGTCATGAGATGCTTAAGGAAGAAAAAGTAGGGGATGTAAAGGAACAATGAGAAGCTAGACTGAACTGTACAACAGTAGGGAATGCGAGTAATCTTTGGGTGCAGAGTTTTAAGTTGTTAAATGCATCTTCACTGAAACATGTAGAAAGTTCTCAATCTGAAAAACCACAATAAGACGATGCAGGTACAAGCTGTTCTGCACAGTTGAGGCTGAGGATTTGTGCTGCTGTGAGTAAAATAATGGCCTGCTTCTGTGTGTGTTAAAATTGCTGTAACGGCTCATTTACACTGGATTATTCACATCCCTCTAAAAGGATACTGTTCTTCAGTATGTGCAGTTACAACTTTATGAACCACTTCTGTTTAAATTTTATCTTTGGGAGTATGCTGAATATGTTCTTTTAATTGCAGTAAGATTAACACTTCCGAAACTCCCAGTCAGCAATGAAAACGGCCTTAATATTAAATTTTGATGATGATATTTTTTGTCTGCATTGTTTTTAGGTTAACGCATTAGATAATCTTGGCCAGACCTCTCTTCACAGAGCAGCACACTGTGGTCACCTTCAGACGTGCAGGTTGCTGTTGAGTTCCGGATGCGATCCTTCTATTGTGTCTCTGCAGGGCTTTACAGCGTTACAAATGGGGACTGAAAGTGTGCAGCAGCTGCTACAAGGTACAACTGATTTATTCAGGATCCACTTCGAAAGTACTGTGGTGCTTCATTCTACTTGCCATGTGAAGTGCTATCAAGTGAACACTGTTACTACACAAAGTCCAAAAAAAAAACCAGCCCTAGGTTGTGCAGTTCTTACTGTGCAGCCCATACACAGGGAGAGTGCCTGCTCTAGGTGTAGTTAACAAAATCACTTACTCTATAGTATTCAGCTATGTAAAGTGTCAGAAATGCTCAGAATGTTTTATGGTATAGCCACCTGGAATAATTTTGGAAAATCCTGGTGTAGGGAGGGGGGAGTAATTGAATTTTGAAAGGAAAAAATGACTGCTTCACATTTCTGAGCAGAGGCAACGGGGTACGTGGATTTTCAAGAGTAAGGCTTGGGCATTATACGCGTAAGCAAGCTTCTTGATGCAGTCTGAAACAAATTCTGAAACAAATGAGAATGTTGAGTTAGTTCCACAGTACTTCAAAAAGTTTAGGAAGCATGTTGCTAACGGCAACTTTACAACACTATTAGAACTCATAGCTACAATTGTAGGTAGTAAGAAAAGACAAAACTTGTCTATAATTGGTTAACTTATTTTTTAAAGGGAGGTCTTTGAAACACTGAAATGATTTCCTGTCTTACATTCCTTCAACTACATACACTTTCCTGTCATGCAACCGTATTTGTTTTGCAGAAGGTATCCCCTTAGGTAACTCTGATGCAGATCGACAGTTGCTTGAGGCTGCAAAGGCTGGAGATGTGGATACTGTAAAGGTAAGCTTAAATCTATCCTAAAAATAAGTAGGAATTATATCCCACACTACAATTTCTCGAAACAAGCAATCCGTCAGTCCTTCACTGACTGCTTTAGAGTTGTGATCCTTGTTCTAAAACTATTGTATTGCATAAGTATTACAGATGACAAAATGTAACCTTCACCACTTCCAAAAGTTAGTCATGTTAAAAGCATAAATAAGAAGTCACAGATGTGGATTTGGGAGGAGAGGGAGTGTTTATTTTTTTTTCCTTGGAGCACATTCTGTGAAGACTAAAAGTTGTATGTAAAAATGAATGAAAAAATAAACATCATTTTTAATGAAAACAGTTTTTCAAAATTAAGTATGTATAACAGCATTTTATGACTAAAGTAAAGGTGCGCCAAGGCTAAATATGTGGTTTTTGTTTGGGGAATTTTACAGAAACTATGTACAGTTCAAAGTGTGAACTGCAGAGATATTGAAGGACGTCAGTCTACACCACTTCATTTTGCAGCTGGATATAACAGGGTATCCGTTGTTGCGTATCTTCTTCAACATGGAGCTGATGTGCATGCAAAAGATAAGGGGTAAATACTTGTGTATTTTTTTGGCAGTTGTAATTGCTGTTATCTGCTAGCTGTTAAGCATCCAATCTTTCTTCAGACATTCGATTTTTTTATTTTCATGAAAAGTTCAGTTAAAGATGTTCAGAATATACACAGAAGCATTTTGCAATGCTTGAGACTAGGACAGCAAGAATTTCTCTGGCCCTATGTTTTTATTTGTCTTCAGTGCCACTATTGATTGCATTTTTACCACTTTGACAGTAGGTATTCCTACTACATTGGACTATTGTGGAAAATTAAAAGAAAGTTTTTGTTATGGTTTGATTCTTGCATGTGCATTGTTTGTTTACGTTTGTATCACTTTGTGGAAAAAGACCCATTTTTTAAAGAGAATTTCACTCTTTTTTCACTTATTTCCAGAGGACTTGTCCCTTTACATAATGCTTGCTCGTACGGTCACTATGAAGTTGCAGAGCTGCTGGTTAAACACGGTGCAGTTGTCAACGTGGCTGACTTGTGGAAATTCACTCCCTTGCATGAAGCTGCAGCAAAAGGAAAATACGAGATTTGCAAACTCCTTTTACAGGTATTACACATGCTGGAGAGAGGTTACTTTCTTTTCTTTCTTGTTCAGTCTGAAACGTGACTGGACTTTGAGAAATTGATTTGTGTTTTGTGATTTCTAAATGATTGTAGTTAAATGTATGTTTTCAGTAAAGGGGATAGCATTAGCATCTTTGTTGTCCTTTCTCAGTAAATGAAAGATTCTCTGAAGGATTTGAGTAGATGTCAGAATATTTGCTCAATAAGCATGAGATGCAACCCGTTTATTCTGTTCATATACTTGCCACCTGTTTTTCACGTGCACAGCATGGAGCTGACCCTACAAAGAAAAACAGAGATGGAAACACTCCTCTGGACCTTGTTAAAGACGGTGATACTGATATTCAGGACCTCCTTAGAGGAGATGCAGCTCTGCTAGATGCCGCAAAGAAAGGTTGTTTGGCCCGAGTGAAAAAGCTGTGTTCACCTGACAATGTCAACTGCCGGGACACGCAAGGGCGGCATTCAACGCCGCTGCATTTAGCAGGTTGGTGTTTTAATTAACTGGTTTGATCAGAGTAACTAGTTACTGTGGCTGAACTTTCCATATCTAAGGAAGTTTAAAGCATAGCCTCAAGCTAGAGGTTTCCATATATTCTCTTTAAAAAAAAAATAAAAATCTGTATTTTATGCATAGTCTTAAATTCCTCTTCTAAACTGTTTAAAGACTTTATTTTCCTGTTCTTTCTAGCCAAATAGGTTCTTTTATAGTTTATTGATAGATGTTCTAAAACCAAATGCTGTTAAATATGGTGAAGCTGTCCTCAGTAATACTCATACACTGTCTTCACTGGGATTGACAACTTAACTTTCAAGTAATTTAAGTGTTTTTCTACCTGTCTACAGCCTGTTGAGGATGGGGTTTTTTTAATATATTTTTTCTGTCCTTTTGTAACTTTCCAGCTGGTTACAACAATTTGGAGGTTGCAGAGTACCTGTTACAGCATGGGGCAGATGTGAATGCACAGGATAAAGGAGGTTTGATTCCTTTGCATAATGCAGCATCTTATGGGGTAAATATTTCAACCTTTCTGAGGCTTTATTTTTTTAAAAACTAAATAAGTACAAGTGATACATTTCACTTGTAGAGCCAATGCTCTAGAGAAGGCTTTTGCCATTGAGTTGTAATGGATTTTATTTGTAAAACACAAAAATAATTTTATTGTAGTCAGCTTGTTGTATAGGTGAAGACTTCTGAATTTGTAGTATTACAATTGCAATTTACAGAATTGAGTTTTAGGAACATGAACATTTAGAAAGCCAGCAGCTTGACAGGTATTTCATAAAATGTATTTCCTTACCTGTGCCAGTTAAACTTTATCAGCAAGATTTCGTTTTCACTTTTTGGCTGATGTCAAGACACTGCTTGTGTGGGCTTCCTGCATCTTTTGTGCTTGGATCAAGCCTTTAATCAAAACAACTGGAGTACTTTCAAACTGGAAATTCAAATTTGGGCTGTTTTACTTCATATTCACCTGATTTGGAATTCTATTGTAATCTGTCCTTTTCTCAGTATGTTAAAGGTGAGGAAGATAGCATTTTGGTTTAATACATTTACTTTTTAATTATGATTTTAAACCCAAAATGTATTAAAAAAAAATCTAAATGAGGATTACAGACAAGTATCAGTAATAGTTCTGAGTTAGTTTAATACACTGTGGTATTTTGGAATTTAACAGGTGTTTTTATTTTCCAGCATGTTGATGTAGCAGCTTTACTTATAAAGTATAATGCCTGCGTGAATGCTACGGACAAATGGGCTTTCACACCTCTGCATGAAGCGGCCCAGAAGGGAAGGACACAGCTTTGTGCCTTGTTACTGGCACATGGGGCTGATCCTACTCTGAAAAACCAAGAAGGACAGACGCCATTAGACCTGGTCACTGTAAGTGATTGGTTCTTGGGAAATCCATACTTACCTGCCATCCTTCTGGGGGGAAAAAACTAATATGGCAATGTCTGCAAAATTTAAAATACTGTGGTTTCTCTGGTGCTTGTACATGCCTGGTATGGAAAGTCAGTAGAGATTTTATAAATCTTCTTTCAATATTTTCTTGCTGAAGACTTCTTATTACAAGGTGGAGTGGAAAAAGACCCAAATGAAAAAACAGAAAGAATTTATGTTTATAATTTCATGCTTTTCATTTGACACAATTTGAGTGATACAAAAATTGTGGCAATAAAGTTTAAGCAAACTTTGAAGTAATGTAAATTTAGGAAACTATCTGGATGTTAAGAAAATGAATACTATGTAACTGTCCTTGAAGTTTTTAGAAATATTGAAGTCTACTTTTGCATTATTACAGTTTGTATTTTTACAATTTGCACATTTTACAGTTTAATGTATGCTGTTGGCCGTTTGTAAACCACATTGTAAAATGCATATTTTTCCAATACTCATGTTTTACTTTTTCGATATACTGAAGGAGACTGGAATAATGATAATGCTTTCTAGGTGAAAATACGTAAAAGTGTTTTAATAAGTTGTTTTCTGCCCTTTAGGCAGATGATGTCAGCGCATTATTGACAGCAGCAATGCCTCCTTCTGCCTTACCGACTTGCTACAAACCTCAGGTTATAAGTGTGTCTGCCGCCGATTCCCTGTCTTCTGTTCCATCCAGTCCATCCAGTCTGTCTGCTGCCAGTAGTCTTGACAACTTGTCTGGTAGTTTTTCTGAACTTCCGTCTGTTGTTGGTACAAACAGTGCAGAGGGAGCTACTGTTCTGGAGAAAAAAGAAGGTGAGCCTTTCTCAGGAATGAGTAACGTTTTCTACCATAGGATAAAAGGAATAACACAACTGAGATTTTTTTCCACACGTGCACACAGTTACTGTGACATATGCAGTATCCCTGTTCCTTTTGATGTTGTTAACAGGAAGAGAAGTCTGAAAGTCTTGTATAAGATTTTAGTACTTACTGCTTACAAAATCTTTAACACATTCATTTTTTACTGCACAGAAGAACAAAAATCATAGAATGGCCTAGATTGGAAGGGACCTTAGAGATCATCTAATCCAACCTCCCTGTCGTGGACGGGGACACCTCTCAACCAGACCAGGTTACTCAGGGCCTCATCCAGCCTGGCCTTGAACACCTCCAGGCAGGGGACATCCACAGCTTCTCTGGGGAGTTTATTCCGGAATCTCGCCATCCTCATACTGAAGATTTTTCTTCCCAAGATCCAATCTAAATCTGCTTTCCTTTAACTTAAATCCGTTTCTAATTGTCCTATCAATGGACACTTTTGTAAAAAGTCCCTCCCCAGCCTTCCTGTAGGTTCCCTTCCAGTATTGGAAGGCAGTTCCCCCGGAGTCTTCTCTTTTCAAGGCTGAACAATCCCAGATCCCTCAGCCTCTCCTCGCAGCAGAGGTGCTCCACCCTCTGGATCATCTTTGTGGCCCTCCTCTGAACTCATTCCAACAGATTTGTGTTCCTCTTATGGTCAGTTGTGTTTTAAAAGAAGTCAAATGATATTTGGCTCCGTACCAAGCATTATTTTACTACAAACTTTATGTAGTTTCTAAGAGGTATCTTAAATCAAATACCTTGAAAAGGTTACTTGTATAACATTTTAAGAGAAAAAAAGAAAAAAAAAAAAAAGAAGAATGAGAGACAATCAACCGCGCTGGGACCGTAATGCCCGCGGGGTAAGACTTGCTCCGAGACCACCGGGGAGAGGTGCCTGATGACAACCCAGGGTCTTCCCCGGCCACCTCCCCAGGCAGCAGCCCCTCTCCGGGCGCTCCGGACCGTGCCCGCCACCCGCCGAAGAACCACCCAGGGTAGAAGCAGAACAGGTCCGGGAACACCTAGAGAACCTGAAGGTGCACAAGTCCATGGGACCTGATGAGATACATCCACGGGTCCTGAAGGAACTGGCGGCTGAAGTTGCTGGGTCACTGGCCATTGTACTTGAGAGGTCCTGGCAGTCTGGTGAGGTTCCCACAGACTGGAAAATGACAAACATAACCCCCATATTTAAAAAAGGGTCCAAGGACAACCCGGGGAACTATAGGCCAGT